ATAAGGACTTGATTCCACATTAATAATATACCATAAATAATAATAATAATAATCATCAATCATAATCATAATCATAATAAATGCCTAATAATATATTTAAGTGCAGTAATATTACTAACATTGTTATTTGTGATAATACCTAATACTTATTGGGCCTGTTGACATAATAACTGAATAATCAATTTTGAATCACAATCAAATTGAATCAATCTTGAATAAATCAGACTCGAATCAGGAAATCAGTGCCGTCACCCAGTCCTAACAATTACATTGCAAGATTACAAATGTAGTCAGTTTGTGTCAGTCATATTAAATAATTTTGACTGTCAAAATTTTTAATCTTACACAATGTGTTAAAATGGTTAATTGTAGTCCATATCATAATAATATTTTCCAGATGTTGTCTATTTTGTAATCCAGTTTTGCTCATCTTTTCTCTGTAACTCCACTTAAGCACAATGAGATGTTCAGCTAATACTTTGTTACCTTACGTTAATATTATTTCTAACACTGAGGATATTTCGCTCTAATAATACTCCGAGCTTGTGCATTAACTAAAATATGGAGATCTGAAAGCAGCCTCAGATGATGTGACAGCTGTTCTGCCGTTCAGTTGTGGTCTTGCCAGATGTCTTCAGATTGCAGCACAATTCCCTAAAAACCACTTCATGATAAAGGGAAGTTAGAAGGCTTTTTTTTGCATCACAATAGATCAGTTGTTCAGTCGTTTTTAAAGCCTGATCCAAAAACATTTATTCTGTTTATTCAAACAGAAACTGAAGGCGGCCCGCAATATTTTTCTGGCAACATTAGCTCTTAATATCCAACCAGATTCCTGTATCTGTCTTATTTTTCCCATAAGAGTGGAAGTCTCGCACATTCACAGAAAACAGCTTACTTCTGTTGAAAAATAAGGTGGATAGTCCGTGCTTCCACAATGCTCTATACACAAATCATAACCAATAAGAATGTGTGTGTGTGCGCGCACACAGGCAGATGTATTGAATAAACCAGAGGTGCTGTGCCTGCCAGAGAGATGCAAATGAATGAATGAACTAGAAAAAAAAAAGTATGAATATCTTATTTATTGTAGTCCTTGGAATATTTTTAACGCCAGCCGTTCTATCTCGCCCAGGATTAATAATGCAACAGATTCCAATAGGTTCAATAATGGAAGGCAATCAGTAGAGCAGAGCTCACACGCGCACGCAGGAGCGTGTCCAACGCTGCACATATTTCAGCACATCTCGCATCCACAGGACATCCGCGCAGCTCCGCCAGTCTCTTTCAATTAAGTCAGTGTAAGAGAGGCCAATTCACCCCAGCAGCTGCATTGCATGTTAATATGACACTGATCCCAGTCAAAGAGGATAAAATCCAAACATATGAGTGCGGTTGTTTTATACAGAGATGGAACATTTTTGCAAGGAAGAAAAACATAGCAAAAAATGATGAGGTGCTGTGGTTTTATGGACATTTAACATGGTATTTACATGGTACAGCAAGGTACTTACAAGAATTCTAAGGTACACGTCCAAAAAAACCCAAACCAAACCAAACCAAACATTAGTACCAGTGTTATTGAGTACTTCTATGTTTTGTGACACCATGGCATTGCTATAGTTTCATGGACATTAGCGATAGTATTATTATGTTTAAGTGACATTGACTATGACATTATCATGGTTTCATGGACATCGCCATTGTAATATTATATTTTGTGACAGTTACCATAGTAATACCACTTTTTGTTTTTTTTTTGATTTGGTACTACAATAATACATGTTTTTAGCACGTACGATATACCATGGTAAAACTATGCTTTGGACATTTGAAGTATCATTGGAGTAACATGTAAATACCATATGTATATTACAGTGCCACAGTATTATCATCTGATGCCATAACTCTACCATGGTACCACCACAGTACTTTGTGGTAAGTAAGTATTAGCATTCATACCTAGTGAAAAAGTCAACTATGCAGTAGTATCAACATATAATTTTTCAATATAACAGTTGCAGTCCTGTGAATTTTAGGACTGATAATACAATGGGTGCTGCTAAAACAAACATGCAGTGAGTGATGGATGATCCAGGATGGGAAAAGTGCATGTTTTGCATTGCATGCGTCTTGACAAAACATTTGACAAACCGTCCTGTCTGTCTGCCTTAATATTTGAAGTAGCAAGTAAGTACATTTGCATGTAATGCCACACATGGATAGCCTCAGCCTCGCAGAAGAGGAGTGTGGCTTGACAGCTCTGGAGCTTTAATTGGACGAGGCTTTTATGGGACTGGATGGTGGCTTGTAAAAGATGGAACCGTATTAAATCTATATGTGATGCCAGGGGAGCGTCTTGCTGTTCCAGCCCCTCAGGTAATAAAGCTTGTGTTTTAACTTTGCATAAGAACACAAATGTTTTGTCATTTCACGGTCAGTCAATTAGCCATGAAACTAAAAACGTGCTTCGAAATCAGCTGGCCAGTTAGCTGCAAGTTACTCATATGTTGCCAAAACTATGTGCTTTACCGGGAATGACAAATGATATTGTCCGGTGTCGTGGTGTGTAGGGTAAATTGGTACAGCAGTGCTGATGACAAAAGAGGAATGAGCTTTGTTAAAGCTGAGCATAATTCACTGGGTGCCATGTTTTCAGAAGGGATTGGAAAAGTGCAATACTGCTGCATAAGCAAATGCTGTAAGGTGGCCATTATCCAATAAGATCTCCTGTTTGTTTAGATTGTGTGATAACGGGGTGTTGGGAATGAAAATCAGAGCAGTCGTGTCCTGATTATCAAAGCTGTCTGAGGACGAGTAAAACCACAATTCTGTCATGCCATTTAGGAAATGTCAGCATGGGTGTTTTTGTAACTTCAAATGTGACATGAGATGGGCTGATTTGTGAAATGTGGTGCTTGTTTTGGAATGTTATAGTATATTCCAACAAATCTCCCATGTGAAACTGCAATTCCACGTCTGCCCATGCGACGGTCATCTCGCGTAGGTCGTGTCGATTTTTGACTACTGGCATAAAGTCTGGTTCACTTTGCAGCTCAATTATGGAAGAGCTCAAACACAGCACATTTGGTTTGGTTACATCGTTTAGAAGCAATTTTGCATTAATTATCGAAATAGTTAATACATTTTAAAAAACGGCACAAAAATGTTTTTATTGTGGCATCAGAACAAAACCTCAAAGACTATTCACACTCCCACTAATTATTATTATTATTATTTGGTTTCAAAAACAGTTGTACATAAAAATAAAGAAATGCACGCGTTTTTGTGCTTTGCTTCTATCCACCCATAAGCTATGTGTACTGACTTTTTAAATTACTAAAACTACACTATTCACACGTCTGCAAATTTTTCTGCAGTTGAACACAAATGATTGGACAAGAAAACTGCAGAAATTTGTTAAAGGGGTCCTATTATGCTCTTTTACAAAGTCTTGATTTTGTTTTGGGGGTGTACTAGAACAGGCTCTCATACTAGGTTGTACATACTATTTTTCCACATATTTTACATTATTACAACACCTCACTCACCAGTCTGGCATGAACGGCTCGAATAGGGTTAGCTGGGCCAGTGTGTGCTGTGATTGGTTAGCTGGGCCAGTGTGTGCTGTGATTGGTTAGCTGGGCCAGTGTGTGTTGTGATTGGTTAGCTGGGCCAGTGTGTGTTGTGATTGGTTAGCTGGGCCAGTGTGTGTTGTGATTGGTTAGCTGGGCCAGTGTGTGTTGTGATTGGTTAGCTGGGCCAGTGTGTGTTGTGATTGGTTAGCTGGGCCAGTGTGTGTTGTGATTGGTTAGCTGGGCCAGTGTGTGTTGTGATTGGTTAGCTGGGCCAGTGTGTGCTGTGAGTGGTTAGCTGGGCCAATGTGTGTTGTGATTGGCAGCACTCGGCGCCTGGTCGGGAAACGTCATGTCCCTTACCATAGCCGCCTGCTGCAGCTTCAGAGTAAATATTGTGTCAAAATCAAATCAATTTGAGCACGATTTAAACCCGGATGATTGTAACCATGCTAAGTTCGTCTGCCTTGAGAAAGCTAGCGTGTCTCCGACATAGTGATAACACTCGTTGCCTTCTCTAGTGCAGCTCAACCAGGTCTCGTCCCATTCGTCGATATTTGTGATATCACAAATCCCGGAAAATATGTGTTGTAGTCCAAACGAGTTGTTCGTTGTAGTTTTTGAAAAGTGATTTCTGTTAAATATCTCCTTTTGAAGTGGACTTTGAACTTTGTAACTTTGCAGATCTTTTTTTATGCTCAAACAGCAACATTACAGACTAACTAAAGTTGAAAAAGTGAAAAAGCATAAAAGGACCCCTTTAAATTGTGTATAGTCTTTGTGCTTTTTTTTTCTGTCCAAAAGTAATGCGTACTGACTTTTTAACACTATGTAAATGTACAGCATGTTTACATGTGCAGTTACAATGCAGGTTTTTTATTGTAGTATCAATCGTTCAGAAGAAAATATTTACATTTGTGCTAACTTTTTCAGTATTTTCAGTGTTTTAACACAAACTATCGTATAAAAAAATGAAATTACGTAACTGTGTACAATTTTGTGCTTTTTGAACAATTACACTTACATGCACAGTTTCAATCAAGCTAAAGTGGGGTTTTGCATAGTCAAACTACAGTCCATCCAAGTATACATAACAAGTGTGCACTCGAACACTTAATACATTAAATACACATCACGCTTCACCTCTTTTCAGAGTTGGTGCACAATGTAGGGCCAATTATTGTGCAATTAACAATACATGCTGGGTGAAACCAAGCTACAACTGTGTTATCTAGATCTGTTATAAAATGTATGTTTTCTGTTTAGGTTTTATAGCTTTAGTCTGACTGAAATATAACTTTTAAAGTCTATGTAAGCTTGAGACTGACTATGGCGGTCAGACTAACGCGACGGTAACACTCAGACCCCATCCTGAAAGAGAGGAAATGAAGCACTGTTGCTCACCCAGTGTCTGATGAAACTCACCCGACACCGGGGTCATGGGGGTGGGTGGCAGGCTGCTGATATTGAGCGCCCCCATCTGGTGGATCTGGGTGGTGGGAAAGGCCACGCTGGGCGCCAGGTAGCCACCGTGACTGGAAGCCATGAGGGCCGCCTGCTGCTGCATCAGCTGCCGGATAGAGATAGAGAAAAAACAGAAAACAGAGAGGGAGAAAGAGAGAGAAAATTTACTAGAAGCACACAGGCTACATGGGGGCATGATGGATAGGCAGTGCTTTGCAGAGTAGAGGAGAAAGTAGAGCGGAAAAAGAGAAAAATGTGTCAACCTATGTTTAGTGAAAGCGTCCATCTTCCCAGTCAGAGGGCTGTCGCAAGCCCCCTCGAAACATTTCAATAGCTGTCGGTCTGGCTCATTCTAATGGAGGGATCGATGCACATATTATTGTAGTCCTTAAGGGACCTGGGACTTCGGAGCAAAAAAATTGAATTGTATTCATTTTTTCCCTTTCAAACTTTAAGGTGATGCTTTCTTCATGGCCTTGACAGCGCAACTTCTTTTCCCTCCCCCATTTTCCTTTACGATGTGACAGCTATCAAGGCTGAATATATCACCGTTATCCTGAAGCGGATATTCTTAGATCCAGGCTAAATGACCATTAGATCCAGAATGTACCTCATGCATACATGCTAGCTTACATGTATCGTACACGTCTTTTCTAATAACGTCACTGTGCAATCCACTTTTGTCAGAGTAGACACCATATTCAGTCTTTTGGGAATGAAAATAGCTATTTAGGAATATACAAAAACAATGACAAAATAAAAAAAATAAAAAATAATAATAATAATACAACATAATTAATTAGAATAATTAATTAAAAATAAATTCATTGCAGTTAATACAAATTAAGTAAATATTGTAGTTGACCTCTCTACCTTTTTTCAAATAATATTCTTATTAAATATTCTTTTTCACTCAGAAATGCATCACATTACAGAAGTAAAATGCGTCACGAATGCTGTTTCATAGGTCATGTCCAATTTTTTTTGCCCACTGGAAATGTCTCGTGTTTTCTAATAAAAGAAAGACAAAAAATAAAATAAAATAAATAAAAAATCAATCAATAAAAAAAATAATGTAGCTGGCCTCTCTACCTTTTTGTTAACTATATATTATTTTTAAACACGCCACATTACAGAAGTAAAATTGGCTGCAAATGCCCTTTCATAGGTCTAATTTTGTTGCCCACTGTAAACGTGTTTGTATATTTCGCCTCTTCTAATAACGTCACTATGTACCTGTAGACTTCTGTCAGAGCAGATGGCGTATTTAATTTGTTGGGAATGAAAATAAGGCTTGCTACAAAGCAGCTACAATAACAACAAAAAATTGAATCGGGAAGTCGCCCCTGACATAGGGGAAGTCATGGCCTAATGGTTAGAGAGTCGGACTCGTAACCCAAAGGTCACTCTCCCACCTTCAATACCACGACTGAGGTGCCCTTGAGCAAGGCACCGAACCCCCAACTGTTCCCCGGGCGCCGCAGCAAAAATGGCTGCCCACTGCTCCGGGTGTGTGTTCACGGTGTGTGTATGTTCACTGCTGTGTGTGTGCACTTTGGATGGGATAAATGCAGAGCACTAATTCCGAGTATATGTCACGTCACTTATACTCACACTCACTTAAAATAAAAAAATTAATATTGTAGTCAACCTCTATGCATTTTTTTCCGAATCATATTCTTGTTAAATATTACTTTTCACTTGGAAACACATCACATTACAGAAGTAAAATTGGTTATGAATTTAAAATGATTTGTACGGCTCATCTCTTCTAATCACGCCATATTCTCCACTCAGAAATACGTCACATTCCAAAAGCAAAATGGGTTACAAATGGCGTTTCATAAGTCATATAATTCTTTATTATTATTATTATTATTTTACTGGAACTATAAAGACGCATTTTCAATTGACACAAGGTACATAACTGTACGTCTGTTTTTGTCACGACAAATTAAATAAACCACTGGCTACTCTTACTAAAGTCAATTTACAAGAAAAATGCTTCTAAAAAATGTGGTCGACATCAAACTATTCACATCCAGTTAAACAATAATGCAACTAATCAAAACAACATTCCTCTACATCACAGCATGCAATCCCCAAAGAGGAAAAAAGGCCAAACGTAATATGCTACATCATGCAATAATCATCGAGCTGCCACTCTTCATTTGAATGCTGAAGATGATATTGTTAAGGTAGGCTTTGCTCTCCGCCGCTGTTTCATCTCTGGATAGTAGAAAGGCAATCATATTCTCTCTTTGGCCTTGTCACTGAGCCTGAAAGATGCCATCCACCCACTAAACAAATCTATAAGCCTCGCATGCATTACTATCTATAAACTCCTCCTTTCATTTGCATAATTCCATCAACAAACTGCTGAGGATCATCTACTATCCTACAGGTAAAATCCACAGTTTTGTGGAAACAAGGAGCATAAATATGTTAAATAAAATCTAAGCACAAATATGCTGAGTAAGTAAACTAAAAAGCTTAGCATTGCTTAATTGTACACTGGGAACATTTCAAGAGAACCATTTACTTCAGAGGTATTCAAAATTAATAGAGTTTTTCAACATTTAAAGTTTTTGCAACTGCTTAATATTTTAACACTTTTAACAGAAGTGTAATTTGTCTTAATGCACGGTCAGATTTTTATTTGTAATTTTTTTTACGTATAACTTAAATAAAATTGTTACTTGGGTGAGTTTGCAAGAATTTTGAAACTTAAAAATGAGTCACGGGCCACTGGTTTAATGCATTGGTCAACCTTCAGGCAAGGGTGGGACGAGACAATCTAGTCTCTCTTCGCCTTGTAATAGCCATGCCACATTAATCAGGCGCTTTTGTGCCCATCTCGCGGCCTCTTCCTTCCTGCTGAATGGGGCATCAGAGTTAAGCTGTGGGTGACAGTTTGCTAATGCCCTTTAAAAGCCAGAGGGACAGGCTTTGGGCAGAGCATAGTGCGGTGAGTTGAAGAGCTCCATATTGTAATTTCCCTCCATGAACGGCTCGGATAATGTCGCCTTTCATGGCTGCCACCAGATTGCCTCAGATAACGATGTGGCATTCAGTTCTGCTCTTTAGGAATTAAAACAGAAAATTGGAGGCCCAAGCATGTAATTATGTTGGGGAGAAGTGAGCAACATCAATTTGTTCTTGGAGGGGGGAAAAGGAGGGAAAAAAAGAAAAGAAAAAACAAGGTCCTTTGGCTATCGGCTTCAAACAAGACTATTAAAAAAAAAAACATCTCGTGTTTCTCTGTTATTCTTATTCAAAGACATAGTTCAGCCAAAAATGAATCTTTTACCCTCCCATTTGTCACGAGATGGTGTGGTGTATGATCAGGCAGGATGACGAAGACGAAGAATTCCAATAACACTTTAATTATTCCACAACAGATAATGTCCAAACAGGTCAGGAACACACACGCAAGGTAACATTCACAATAACCGACAAACTAGAACACAATCGACAGGAACTGATATAGGGCAGATAACGAGGGCAGACAGGTGAGCACAATGAGGTGATTACCTAATAATGAGAACAGGAATAACCAAATATGGACACAGAGGGAAAAACCACAATCAACAATCCAAAGGGGTGTGACAGATTGCCCACTCCTGGAAGGCGCATCCTCGCGCCGTGGAGACAGAGGGAGGGACGGAGGGGGACTTAGGAGGAGGACAAAGGAGTGGATGTGGGATGGTGACAGGGGAAGGCAAAGGGCTGGTAGGCAGACCAGACAGGTGGAGGTTCCGGCGGAGGATGGACTCCCGGGAGGAGGACGACTAACAGAGTCCAGGGTGGTGATGACGGAGGGAGGAGCCAGGGAGATGACAGGAGGGAACCGGAGCAGGAGAAGGAGCCAGGTGGGACCCAGGCCACAGCCATGATAGTGGCCCACGGTGGAGCCGACGGAGGGAGGAGCCATGGTGGAGGAAGGGCTGACAACTCCAGGGGGCCAACCGACAGCTGTGGAGCAGGTGGTGGAGGAGCCTGAGGTGGAGACGGAGAGCCGATGAGCCAGGGCGACACCGAGGATCCGGAGGGCCAAGGCAGAGCAGATGGCGCCGGCGACCGAGGCGGAGACGGGGATCCGGAAGGCCGCGGTGGAGCCGGAGCGACAGAGGACTGAGGTGGAGCCAGAGGGAAGGAGAAGCCTGACAGAGCCTGAGGGACGGAGGGATGAGGCGGAGCCAGAGGAGTGGAGTCGCGAGGCGGCGGATAGTCAACGACTGACCAAGGCAGAGCCAGAGGGACGATGGAGCCCGGTGGGGCTGGTGGACTGACGGGCCATGGTGGAGATGAGGGAGCTAGGAGCCATGGTGGAGCCGCTGGGTCACAGGACCGAGGTTGAGTCTGGGCCTCGGAGGCTGAAGACGGAGTCAAGGGGGAGTCGCGAGGCGGCGGATAGTCAACGACTGACCAAGGCAGAGCCAGAGGGACGATGGAGCCCGGTGGGGCTGGTGGACTGACGGGCCATGGTGGAGACGAGGGAGCTAGGAGCCATGGTGGAGCCGCTGGGTCGCAGGACCGAGGTTGAGTCTGGGCCTCGGAGGCTGAAGGCGGAGTCGAGGGATCCTCCAGACTCGACGCCAATGGAGCTGGAGATAGGCAGACCAGTGGCGAGCCCAGGCCAAAGATGGTGAGCTGAGGGTGAGCAGAGAGGCTGACGGGATCCAGCAGAGAGGGTGTTGGTTGAGGAAGGGAACAGGTCAATGAGAGGAGGCGGAAGAGGGAGGTTGGGTGGGATTTATTTTCCCAGGTAGACAGGTCGGGTGAAAACTGAAGGACGGGTATCTCTGAGTGCAAGTCTATTAAATCTCCCAGGTCCAGTTTGTGATCACCCCCAGCGATGGCGCCATTGGCGGGGCTTTTCATTACTCCCGTGATCTCCACAGCTCTATCCACCGTTGCATGTGCTGTCGGCTCTCGCACCTGGTCAGTCATTTGGGGCTCAGGCTCCAGGGCGATCGTCAGCTCTGTCGCTCCTGATGGCGATGGCTCAACAACCGCGGCAGGCTCTGGCTCTCCGTCTGCAGTGGGCTCGGGCAGCTCTGCGCCGCGGGGTGGTCCTTGACTGGGCTCTGAGTCCCGAGTGTG